ACCCCGCCCCCCCCCCCAGCCACTCCCCCCACCCCCACCCCGCTTCCGTCGGGCGCTCAGACGGGAAACCAGAAAATACTGGACATAGCACATGTCCGGTATTTCCTGAAATTTTTTTACTGGACAGAGGGCTCAAAAACCGGACTGTCCAGTTGAATACTGGACACCTGACAACCTTACTTCTGCTTCACCCCCAGAATCCCCTGGCACCTGCACCTTCCCTTACCCCTGCACCCTCCTGGTGCCTCCCCCTTCCCTCACTGCCCCTGCCCCCTTTGCCCTCTTTTTCCCTGATGCCCATCCCCTCACCACCCTCGGCCCTGTTCCCCTTATGCCCCTCTGTGCCCTCACACATGACTTGCTCCATCCCCGCCTTCCTCATACCCTCCCCTCCTTTCAACCCTTTTCCCAGCACCTCCCCTCCCTCTGCCACCTCCCCTCCTGTCTCCTGCCCTTTTCTTCATTGTCTCCACTTGCCCCCCTGGCATTTGTCTTTCCTCCACCCTGTCCCTTGGTGACTTTCCCTTTCTTCTTCTGCTCTGCCCCCTCCCCTCAGCACAAGCCCCTTCCTCTCCCACCTCCCTTCTTCCTAGTTTCCTCCCTGCCCCTCCCACACCTTCTGCCTTCCAGTTTGTGGGGCTGGAGTCTGTGGTCGGGCCTCAGAAGTCCCCGCAGCCCTGGCCCCAGCTGCTTTCAGATCAGGACCGCTTGTTGGGCTTGGAGCTGGGCTGTGCAGTGCTAATTTTATTGGAGTCCCTGCACCAGCTTTGGCTCCCATTAGCAGGAGCATGAGGGGCGGGGAGGAAGGAAGCCACCAACCCCCCAGACCCGGCTTGCGGCACGCGGCAGAGCGAGTGGGTCCATGCACTGCCGCTCCCCCAGCAGGGTGGGAAGGGGCGGGGGGAGAAAGGGCCATGCAAAGAGCACATTGGCAGAGCCCAAACATACCCTGCTCTGCAGTGCTCCAGCCAGGCTCTGCGCAGTCTCTGCCATCCCAGGAGCGGCTTGCCGGGTTTATTGCCCTCCCACTCCAGCAGCGGCGGCCACCTGAGGATGGAGGAGGCGGCGTGGCTGGGCTGGCAGTCCCGCGGCGAGAGGGAAGGGCCATGGGGGGGGAGAGGAATGTGTGGGATGGCGGCACGTGCTGCAAGGGAGCTTTGCGCTCTGGACACTGCGCCACTGGCAGCGGCCCTGCGTGCCTGTGCAAAACACCAAAGAGCTGCTTACGTGCTGGGTGGAGGCTGGACGTTGGCTGCTGCACCATGCTAGTGCTGGGTGTCTGCAACGGTGTTCCAGATGGGGGGGGGGAAATGGCGGTGCCGTTTGTAGCCGGATCCCAACGGGCTTTCCCAGACATTTGCCACTTTTACCGGGACACTGGGACAGAACCCTTAAATCCGGGACTGTCCCAGAAAAAAAGGGGTGTATGGTCACTGTACCTGTATACCGCATACACAGACTACACCTCAAGTAGAGCACTTTTTACAGTACGTGCAGAAAGCGATAATCATGCAGCATTACACAACAAGAAAAGCCAGGAACAGAATCCCTGGCTTCCAGCCCCCTGTTCTATATTCCTTTCCACTACTGTTAGCAATGGGGCCTAGTTATGATGCTAAACATGGAATTCTGTTTAGTCCATTATTATAAAAGGCATCTTTGGTCACACTAGTAAATCTTCCAGTGGGCTTCATAACTTGGCATACTAAGGGTGCTACAAATTTAAGGTAAAATACTCTGAGAGGGTGCCTTTATAAATAATAAAATACAGCAACAGTCAACAGTGATAGCCCCAGATGCTACAGTAAGCTGCAGAGTTTCAGATTATTCCTATCCATAACACAGGATTCTTTTATAAACATCAATTATCCCATTTTGTAGAAGGTAACACAGGTACAGAGCGACTGTGGTTAGTAATCCTGAGTCAATTCCCTGCTCCAACCCCCAAAACAACTTTCTCTGTCATCTCTCTCAAGCATCAATGAATGCAGTTGTTTATAAGAACCTTCTCCACTGCTGCTTGCTCCCCTCAGCAATCCTTTATCCCCTAATCACACCTTTGCTTTCCTTCTATACTTAAAAACACGGCAGCTGCACCACTGTAGTGCTTCGGTGCAGGTGTGACTTATGGTGATGGGAGGGCTTTTTATAATCATCTCCCCAAGAATATAGCTAGGTCAGTAGGTGAATCCGCCCCTTGACGTCACCCTGTCTATTCTGGAGGTTAGGCTGGTTTAACTGCATCACTCAGGGGTGTGGATTTTTCACACCTGAGAGTGACATGATTTTACCAACCTTATTTCCTATTGTAGACCAGAACATAGTGTTGGCATTAATGTTTCCAGGACCCAAAGCAGGGGGAGAAGGGTGAGAGTCAGGCAATGAGCTGCCTACCCCGGTCCCCTGGCTGGAAGGCATGAGGGAGCTGGGCAATAAGCTGTTTCCTCTCGCTCCACTGCTGCAAATGGAGAAGGAGATAGACAGGTCCTGCAATGCAGAAGCTGACCCTGAGATACCTGCTTCCCCTCCAAAAAAGTGAGAAGCCAATTGGTTGTTTGCATAGAATAAAATACACCAGGTAGACAGATTGGCCCCTTGTATTACAAGTGACACATTAGCCCCATCTGTGCCAACAGAGCAGCAGTAAGGTCTTTCACAGAGCTTACCCTTCCCCTAAAATAACTGAACAGAACAGCTGAAATCTTTTATACTGGTTGTTAATTACCTTGAAGAGCTTGAGGGCTTCTGTCTGCAGCGCCTCTGATGGCAGAGTAGTAAGGGAGGTGTGCAGCCCATCCTTACTGTAGCACAGCATGGGGTGTTTCCACAACGGAGATTCTGGGTGACAGATGAAGTAAAAACATGCAGCCTCAGGAACACAGAAGCATAAGTTTGATACAAGGTGAGAGGGAACCTCCCAGCAAAATCTTCCACAGTAGAGCCCCCTTTGATCCCTATAGAAAAAAAAGCCTGGCCCAATTAGTAAGCAATTAGGGCAAGCAGCACCACATTGGGTCACATTAATCCTTGGTGTCACTCTATTGACTCCAATGAATTCATGACCCTAACAGTGGCCAAGAAGCTATGAATGCCGGCAAGCAATGCCAGGTGGCTGCAGAGAGCAGCCCTGCAATTTGTCCTCCTGCCATCTGAGAGCATCACACAGGCTGGACTGTGGTGGGAAGCAGCACCATCTGCTGGTGCAAATGAGAGACTGAGTCTGTGAAACAGACGTGCTATCTGGATCTTTATCAGTGGAAGCTATTATGGCACACTGGTCAAAGCTCAGAGACAGGAGTATGTATACATGGGCGTGCAGGAGAGAGCATGTGCGTATTCAGAGGTGTGATAGCATATGTGTGGTTTGTATACCTGTGAATGGGTACAAGTGGTATGTGTCTACATGAGGAAGAGTGAGTAAACAGGTGTGTAGGAATGTGAGAGACAGTATATGCATGTGTGAATGAATAAATGTCTATGGCTGTGAGGGGTATCCAGGGTTAAGTCTGTGTGTATGCACACACACATGGGGAGCTGACAGAGAGAGCGAGAGAGTATATGTGCACACATGGGTAAGTGAAACTCAAAGTACACTGTGCCAGGGAGTCAGAGATTCAGACTTTTATTTCTTAAATTCTTATTTATTAAGAACAACCCAGATTTGGCTGAGCTTTCTGTAGTTTGCTCTCCAATGTAAGAGGAGCTGCAGATGCTTTGATAAATTAATTGGCGACCTAGGGTCAATGTAGTGCTCGAGTCCTCTACTGAAGTGCTACTGTATACTTAGAGGTGAAAGGCGCTCTATCCCTTTGCTGATCTATTTCACTATCCCTTCTTCTCCTCTGTGGATGGATTCAAACCATTGAAAGACATTTTGGGGTTCTACTTACGTGGGTCTCCCTCTGCATCCAGTAATTTTCCAATTAGCTGTTCGTATGCTGTGCCCACCTTGGCATTGCTGCTGCCTGCTGCTACTGTCAGATGGTACAGCCAAGTATCCTGAGGAAATAGCATGAAAAGAACAGGTGATGCTGGAAACCCAGTGATATTCTCACAGTCATCTATATATATGACCAGTCAACAGAGTCAACACACACAAGTTTCACTCATTCCATTTTTGGCACCCAGGCCAGCAATGGCTTGGCTTGCAAGTGGGCTAGCTAAATGGTTTGAGGCAATCACTGTTCATCAAATCGTAAGTGAGATTCAGATGGATCCTGGGAATTTAAGACAGCACAGCACCAAGCTCCAAGGAACTCCCACCCATTCTTTAGGAGTAGTAGAGCATAGGTTATGCTCCTCTTTCCCCACCCTCTTGTTGCCTCTTTCTGATAGAGGCAGCAAGGGTGGGGAGAGCAACTAGCATGTTGACTATCCGATAAGCATTTGCTTATCGGATAGTTGACTAGTTGTTCACATCCCTAGTCCAGCTCACTGTTGTGTGACCTGTGTCTGGCAGAAGACAGTTCTGCAAGGTTGTGAGTGGAGAGGGACTTAGAAAGTATTTATTATTGGTGATTGCCTATCTCCTAGAACTGGAAGGGACCTTGAAAGGTCATCAAGTCCAGTCCCCTGCCTTCACAGCAGGACCAAGTACCATCCCTGACAAATTTTTGCCCCAAATCCCTAAATGGCCTCTGCAAGGATTGAACTCATAACCCTGGGTTTAGCAGGCCAATGCTCAAACCACTGAGCTATCCCTCCCCCTTCCAAAGTAAGTCTGCTGTGATGATTTTCGGCAGGGTTTGGAAATCTTGGTATCTTGAGCCCTCAGCTGCAGAGAGGGCAGCAAAAATTATAAATACGTAGAAGGGGGAAAAAAAAAATTAAACCAGACTCAAAATCTGAACCTGATTGTTAGAGTTGGATTTGGGGAATTTTCTGGATGGTTCTTATCTTAACCAGACTGGTTGAATCATCTGTATTTTCCACACACTGGTACCAAGTTATACCAGCACCACACATCCCTGCTCTCCCAAGTCACCGATTCATACCTTCTCGTGTTTGGTACCAATGAGTAGGTAGGTTGGACTCTGATCCTGTGGGTGAATCACCAAGGTATAATGGGATGAGAGAAGACCCCCTGCAGTGGCTTCATAATCTTCATCTGAGTCACAGGAACGATCCACCTCCTCCACCTTTGACTTGCGTATGTACAAATGCCCCAGAGGACACTGGGAAAAGAAATGAAGGTACGTATCCTGTCTCCAAAGGGTGAAGTGTGTTGCAAAAGGTGAAGAATGCTGATGGGATTTGGGCAGAGGTGGGTGGAGCCCCTGCTGAGTTCAAGAGAGTTTGACAGAGGCCTGCGGATTAAGGGGAGGAACCAGCTTGATTTAAAGGAAGCTGAGTCTGAAATACAAGGGTGGATGCTTGAAAGCGAGTCCCAGGAGCAGGGGTAGGACTCACATGGTACAGAGCATAGGTAGGTAATAAGAATGGAGGTGGTTCGCCAGGGTTAGCCCCGACAGGCTGCCACTGCTTTATCTGTGCCTCGCAGGTACGGATGCTTGGAGTTCCTGTTGGCCATGGATCACTGTTCATGGCCAAAGAAGCTGCAGGAAGCGGCATGGACCAGCGGGACACTGTCTCCCACAGCTCCCATTGGCTGGGAACAGAGATCTGCGGCCAATGGGAACTGCAAGTGCCTGTACCTGTGGAGATGCAGGTAAATCTGTGGAGATGCAGGTAAATATAGTGATGGCGGCCCTCCAGGGGCTAACCCTGGTGCAGCACATCCAGCCCGCGGGTCAGGGATTGTCCACCACAGGTACAGAAGAATCAGTCAGTGGGATGAGTTAGGAAGTTCTCTTGCAGCATTCCACAGTGGAGGCTTGTAGGAAGCTAAGCCCAGAATAAGGGATCAGTCATGGAGGGATATTCCTTGAGCAGGAATTGGATTTCCAGGCAGGGAATTCTCAGGCAGGTGACCTGTGGAGCAGAGCCCTGGAACAAGGGCAATAACAGTCTGGGGTTGGCTATTGGAAGTAGGGATGTTAAAATGTGTGTATTTATGTAAATGTGTAACCGCTGAAAATTTAAGTCAGCTCCCCGCATGCACCAGCTCCTGCCTGTCCCCCCCCAGGGTAGGTAATAAGAATGGAGGTGGTTCGCCAGGGTTAGCCCCGACAGGCTGCCACTGCTTTATCTGTGCCTCGCAGGTACGGATGCTTGGAGTTCCTGTTGGCCATGGATCACTGTTCATGGCCAAAGAAGCTGCAGGAAGCGGCATGGACCAGCGGGACACTGTCTCCCACAGCTCCCATTGGCTGGGAACAGAGATCTGCGGCCAATGGGAACTGCAAGTGCCTGTACCTGTGGAGATGCAGGTAAATCTGTGGAGATGCAGGTAAATATAGTGATGGCGGCCCTCCAGGGGCTAACCCTGGTGCAGCACATCCAGCCCGCGGGTCAGGGATTGTCCACCACAGGTACAGAAGAATCAGTCAGTGGGATGAGTTAGGAAGTTCTCTTGCAGCATTCCACAGTGGAGGCTTGTAGGAAGCTAAGCCCAGAATAAGGGATCAGTCATGGAGGGATATTCCTTGAGCAGGAATTGGATTTCCAGGCAGGGAATTCTCAGGCAGGTGACCTGTGGAGCAGAGCCCTGGAACAAGGGCAATAACAGTCTGGGGTTGGCTATTGGAAGTAGGGATGTTAAAATGTGTGTATTTATGTAAATGTGTAACCGCTGAAAATTTAAGTCAGCTCCCCGCATGCACCAGCTCCTGCCTGTCCCCCCCCAGGACAGAGTGTGTGTGTGGGGGGGGCGGGGGAGCCTGCGTGTAACTGGCTCACTGGTTAACTATGTACACTATCACATCTTTAGTTGGGAGGGTGAGATAGAAATTAAGTCCTTACAGAAAGCATGGAAAACTGCTGGGAACCTGTTGGGTGCCTTGGGCTTTCAGAATTTTATTGTGAGGTTTCTGTGGATTATTGAATATATTCAGCAGTAAATCATGACTAGCAGTTGGTTGTTGAACTGGATACCAAGAGAGACTATCCCTATTATTACAGGTCCAAGGGGATACCGACAACACAGGTGCATGTGTCATGCCATGGCCTGCAATAACAGGGCGTTCAGGGCATGGCTGCTTTGTCACGGCCCCGTTATGCGGAGCACTGTACACATACAATGAAAAGATGGCTTCATCCACAAATAATCGTTGATCCTTCCTTTCTCCTCCAATTGCCCATCATATTCCTCTGTTGCAGTTCATATTACTTTAGATTGTAAGCTCTGCAGGAAAGGAACTCTCTCTCACTATACTGTACCTACTGCAACTGGCCCTTGAGACTGAAGAAGTCGTTAGGTGGTACAGTAAAATATATATTAAAATACCAGCATAGGCTAGAGCCAGACAGAGGGTATATGCCAGGGGTGATCAATAATTTTGCGGGGATCCACTCCAAGAATTTTGGTAAGTGATCACAGGCTGCACTTTTTTATATTAATGGAGGGGATATAGGGTTTGGGATGGAGTTTGGGTGCAGATAAGGATTCTGATCTGGGGCAGAGGGGTTGCAGTATGGAAGATGTTGCCAGGTGCAGGCTTTGGTGCTGGCTGGGAGGTGGTGGTCCTAGGCAGTTCCCAGTGGGCAGTGCAGCAGGGCATTCAGGCAGGCAGGCCCACGCCCCTCAAAGCTGCCAGCTACCGCTGCTAAACCTGTCTCTGTGTGCCCCTTGGAATAAGGGGGGCAGCGTGTCTCTGCATGAAGCCTACAAGTACCACCTCATAGCTCCCATTGACCAGTGTCTGGCAAATGGGAGCAGTGAGGATGGTGCTGAGGGTGCCCTCCTTCCCCGCAAGGGGCACGCAGAGACAGGCTTGTCAGCTACCTCCAGCTGTGGCACTTCTAGGAGCCACACAGCTAGGACTGCAGAAAGCATGCAGACTGTCTGAACGCCCTGCTGTGGTGCAGGACATTTTCCTTCCACCCTGGCACAGAGGGTCAGGGGGGCCAGAGGAAGATGTTTGGTGGTCCAGATCTGGCCTGCAGGATGTATTTTTCCCACGCCTGGTACATGCTGTTCTAGTTTCCTCTATGCTGCTCTGAAGAGTCATCCCAACCCTGACCTACAGCTTCTCTCGCTATACTGGGTGCAGATATCTAGAGTATAAAGGAATGCATGTTCGGGATGAGCTTCCACAGATACAGTGCAGAAGTGATTAGAAAACTGCCTCCGTTTGGTGCGCACTGATTGGGAAAGCGTTTTTCTACTATCGAAATAATGAGGACAAGGTACTTTGTGTTCCTTCTGCTATGTCTCATATAGTTTCTCTGTTCTTTTACCTATTATCCCATCTTACTCCAAACAATCCCATTTTCTCCCATGTTTCAGCCCTAGCTAGTACCTCCCACTCTGCAAAAATGCCTACATCTGCTACTAGAAATACAAATACATTGTCTTCAAAAATACCAAAGACACATAACTAACAAAGCATGTACCTGCTGTCTCCCAGATTGCTCCACTTGTATCTCTCTCACTTCCTTTGTCTTTGTGTATTTTAACTTGTAAGTTGTGGCAGGGACTGTATCTCCCCATACGTGTGTAAAGCACCTGGGCACATTAGGAGGTGCTGCCACAAGACAATACATATTAATAACATGGGGTATGTCTACACTACCCTCCTAGTTCGAACTAGGAGGGTAGTGTAGACATACCCCATGTTATTAATATGTATTGTCTTGTGGCAGCACCTCCTAATGTGCCCAGGTGCTTTACACACGTATGGGGAGATACAGTCCCTGCCACAACTTACAAGTTAAAATACACAAAGACAAAGGAAGTGAGAGAGATACAAGTGGAGCAATCTGGGAGACAGCAGGTACATGCTTTGTTAGTTATGTGTCTTTGGTATTTTTGAAGACAATGTATTTGTATTTCTAGTAGCAGATGTAGGCATTTTTGCAGAGTGGGAGGTACTAGCTAGGGCTGAAACATGGGAGAAAATGGGATTGTTTGGAGTAAGATGGGATAATAGGTAAAAGAACAGAGAAACTATATGAGACATAGCAGAAGGAACACAAAGTACCTTGTCCTCATTATTTCGATAGTAGAAAAACGCTTTCCCAATCAGTGCGCACCAAACCAACTTAGAGTGACCATGCTTCACCTACAGGAAGGGCAAAGGAATGAAAGATGTAATCTAGGGATTGGATCTTACTGCACGGCCAGCAGCAGTTACTGGAATGTTTTCTTTCCCTTTGAATCTCTTGTTGGCAGGTTCTCAATACTAATTGTTCTGAGCTAGTGTAAAACTATCTGTCATGACCCCTGCAAAGATCCAGAGAAACACTTTCAAAAGCACCTAAGCCACTCAGATGCTTTTGAAGATGGAATGTTGGTATCTAAGTAATTGATGGTATGTCTAATCCATTTGAAACATTACTAGACAATTTTCTTGCTAATATCCTACAGCAACAAGTTCCACAAGTTAATTATATGTGCCATTATAAAAGCATTTACTTAAATTGCAGTAAAATATTTTGCAGTTGTCTTGCATTGTACTATTGGAGAGGGTCAGTGTATTCTGACAGGGTGTTCTATTCCATTCTTCATTGTATATAATCTTGACATCCTCTTCCCCTGCTCCTTTGAGCTTCAGGAATCCACCTCTGCCTTTCCAGGGAGAATTAAAACACCCACTTCTTGCAGGCCGTTGGTAGATAAACCCCAGAGGGCTAAAAGTCTGTCCTTTCAGTGTCAAGGGAGACTGACTGCGCTAGGGCCACCTTACCTTAGTGAGCCAGCCTTTTACAGTAGGTTTGGCATCCTTCTGAGGGAGAGCAGCAGAGCTGGTCACCTGAACCTTGAGAATACTCTGCAGGACACGGATCCATTCTTCCAGGATATTGGGAGAGTCTGCTGTAAGGAAGTAGGTCCTCTTTTCAGTGATGAGCTAGAGGGAAAGGAGGAAGGGAAATGTCACAGTCTGAATACTTGTCATCTCTCCTTCAAATACTGGGTCATAGGATCATATGGTTTCCAAGAAGTAGCATTGTTAGTTTCAGAAAAAAAATAGAAAAGAAAAGAACCCACAAACACAAAAACCAAAACCCAAGGAGTCCCATGGCACTTTAAAGATGAACACATTTATTAGCATATTAGAGAATAAGCTTTCGTGAGCTACAACTCACTTCCTCAGATGCTGATTTTTATAAGAGTAGAAGAGTTAATTCATGCGTCTTGGCTGAATTCAAACTCAAATAGTTATATGCGTTTGTAAACCCCTCCCGCCCATCCCCATGTTTTTGCTGGATAGAATGTTCTCCTTAATTTCCAATCCTGTTCTGCAATGTTGCTTAGGGCTATTAAATAACTACTCTATGTCACTACAGAGGTGGTTTCATTTTTTTAAAGTGGTGAGTGAAGTAGTGTCTCTCTCTTTATTTATACATTCATATTTATAGCCAATGTTTGCCCTCTACCCTCAATAGCTTCCAAAGTGCTTTAGGGTCCTTTGAGATGAAACGTATTCCATAAATATAAGATATTAACACTAACTTTCAGTTAACTTCAGTACAAAAAGAACACATTCTACGCAAGTCTGAGTCAGAATGCATGGGAGGCTTTAATATCGCACCTCCTTTACAGAGAAGTCCCCTGGCACTGATACCCTGCCCCATGACAAGTAGAGCTAGCGATGGGCCCACTTCAAATGGCTGGAGACTCAGTTTTCAGATGATTCCAACAATGTAGATGTTTCTCCCAAGTTGATGAGAATGGTCTCGCTGAGAAGATTCCTGGAACTCCTGCCTTTGGTTGAGCCACTTTCTTTCACGGAGGCTCAACTTTTCTTAAGTAAGTTGAAATGTGGGGATTGTGGGAGAGAGGGTGGGATTATCTGAACCTCTTTGAACATGAAAGCTGGGTTTGAGCTCATTTTTATACAAAACAGACTGCCTCTCTAAGCTGAAACACAAGGCAAATAAAAGCTAGGAAAGTCAGTACACATCTGTCATGACTAAGTTCACCATCCAGACTGAAGTAGCTCCTCTCCCACCCTGCCCTGCTTACATCCTTGAGAAGATGGTTATGCGTAAGGCCAAAAGGGATTCTCACCTGAAATGTCTGAGACCCTTCACCCCGAATGATCTGGCAAGAAGAATTCAGCTCAGCCTGCCCCTGAGGCTTGCGGATAACATCGCTCTGTGGAGAGAAAGGCAACATTCTCAAAAGGATCAGCACTAGCTTTATCAGCCAGCTAGAAGTATGGAACAGGAGACATCACAGCTGGATGCATCTTAGGCAACATGTTGTTGCCACTAGTGTTCTCTGTAAACTGGGTGGTTTTGCAGCCACTCAGGAGAAATGCCAAAGCTGCCCAGCTGATTAGCAGAATTCCCACAGCTAGGTCTTGTTTCGACTGGTGGTGCATATTCGCATATGCCTTGGTGCACCTAACATGTATTCTGCACATGGATGGAAAAAATCCACACATGGATGCAAAAGATTAGAGGGAACATTGGCTGCCACCCTAGGGATAGAGGGAGAGGTGTCTCCTCCCCTAGGCTAATGAGAACTTAGCTCTCAGGGACCATTAAGCACAGCACACCAATAGGGGATATCCCCACACTAGCCAGCCAAGAATATGTGGAGATAGAAGAACAGGATGTTTTTTATTTTTCTCTGTTTAGGAAGTTAACGGATTTACAAATCACAGCTATGTAAATATCAGAGACAATGCAGCAATCATTATAACAATGAACTTTTGTTTAGAGAAACATTACATAGTAATAGCAATCAGATCTGTGTTTAAGAGGCTATCAACATGTTACAGAGTGAGCATCTTTTTGCTCGCCGCGATGTCATTTTAGTGTTTTAGGGTTTGGGGGATTTTAGCTAGGTCTACACTATAGCCTTTTTTTGGAAAAAGCTATGCAAATTCTGCTCTGCTTTTTTTCTGATTGCTTTTCCGGAAGAGGCTTTTCTACCCTTTAGACCCATCCAGACGGGGCCAAATGGTGGAAAAACCTCCTCTTTTGTAGGAGCCCTTATTCCTCGTACAACTAGGTATATAGGGCTCCCCGAAAGAGCATGTTTGTTCTTCCGCATAAAAAAAGTGGAAGAGCAAACGCATTCTCTGGACGTGGCAGAGTTTTTCAGTATCCCAGAAAAACACCACAGTCTAGACATACCCTTAGTCAAATCTCTGGTTACATGCATTTTAATAGACCAGGTAAGCATATCAGGTATTAATAGTTAAAAAAAAGATTGGAAAGTTGTATGCTGGGCTTTTGGGGGACTTTTTTTGGTCTTCCAGGTGAATGTACTTTGCCTGAATATTGAATAAAATCTAAGTGTCTATTTGTCCTCTGTTTTTCTGGGTATGTAATCAATTTTTTAATAACTTCCATTTTTTTTAAACAATTCCACCAGAATTGACTTATTTTTTCCCCAGTGAGTGGCTATTAGTAGCAGAGCAACTACAGTAAACTTCCGATAATCTGGCACCTTTAGGACCCAGGGGGTGCCGGATTATCAGATATGCCGGACTATCAGAAGGGGGGCTATGAAGGGTCTGGAGTGGGGTGGGAGGAGATGCCACCCCAGACCCCTCATAGCCCCCCTTACGATAGTCTGGCTCTGCCCCAGGCGTCCCTGATTCAGCCGCTGCTGGTCAGTTTCAGCAGCAGCTG